CCAGGGAATCCCCTGGCTAGCTAAGCATTCCTGTCTTGTGTTAAGTATCCAGAACCAAAGTCTTGACTGTTTGGGTGGAGCAGGTGAACTGCTGCAGCATGTGCTATCCAGACAGGACGGCACCTGCCAAAAATAAAACTAGTCTTTCTTGCTACACAGGACTTCTGTGTCAGTGAAGTACTTCTTCTGGGGAGATGGAGGCAAGATCTGTTCTTATCCAAAGAAAAACCCAAAGGGAGTGAGAGGAGGATCCGCAGCTATGCCATAAGAGATAGGGCAGTGTGGGAAGGAGAAGAGAGAGATGAAGATGTGTTGTCAACAGAATGCAGTGATTGTGGCCGAGGTTGGTGGAACAGCCGATGGAGCCCTCTAGTGATGTTTCCTGGTTGGCTAGAGAGAGACTTGCTGGAGTCTCACACATTTTAAAGCAAGTTGATTACAGCTCTGGAACCTCGCGCGACCTTCAGTTAGTACACACTACAACCATTCACACTTTTTTCCTATTTTAAATGCATGCCCCGCCCTCAGTGTCAGAATTGTGTTAAGATGTGAGATACAAATACTTGAAATAAATAAATCATCCCCAGCTAGTGTGGGAGGAGACACTCCTCTGTCTGTCTATTTTGTATGCTAACCCCTAAATCCTGCCACTTCTACACAATCCCCTGTTCTTCTGCTGAGACTTTCTTTCCCTTCACTGCCTGTTCCATGCTTTCTAGCGAAACTGAAACAGTTCAGATTGGGCTGGAAAAGCCAGGTGGACTCGAGATCCATTTTCAGATTTGTCTGCAGCATGAGGTTAGTGTAGTGAAAGTGGAAGGCATATAGCCAGATTGGCTACTTATTTATTTATTTTTATTTTTTTAAATCTCTAAATAGTAATTTTCATAGGTTTTAGTAACTATATACTGTAATATTATTGAGTCTTATTTAAGTGTTTTATTTACAAGGTTATAAACATTATAATGAGATTATGATTAGGCTTTAATAAGGTTTTTAATTTAATGAGGGATTTTATTAAGGTTTGAATAAAGTTACAGTTTAAAAAAAACCCAGAATGTTGCGAATGCAGGTTTCCTGGTTCTTAAAGAACTCTGCAACAGCTTCCCAACCAGTTTTGTATCATTTCTTACATTTGGTTCATGTTAAATAAGATAGTTTATTTGTTAAAGCTAGCTTATCATTTCTGTTGTTGTCTAAAACACCTGTTTTTGCCTTAGTAATTGAAGAAGAGGTTTTTGACTGCCATGTTTACTTCCTGAAATAAGGCTTCTGGAAACAGAATCTAATCAACATAGGAGTCATTTTTGGGAAGTATACATGGTAATTGAAGACTTCCTTCCTTCAGTTAATATTATTAAGACAAAGAACAGGCTTTCAGATGAAATAAAACCAGTTAGCTCTTTTAAACAACTTGAACAAGTCATGAAAGTGACTAAGTGCTACCACAGAACTGTATAAGCAGCAACAAAAACTTAGTTTGCAAGGATGATTTTCTGTGGCTTAAAAAACAACTTCTGGAAGGTCTTGAGCAGCTGTTCATGGCCCACACTTTTGCCACCTCTCTATGAGCATATTGGTTGCACTGTTTCCTGTAAAAATATGTGTTTGTTAGGAGAAAGCAAAATCTCTCTTCACTAGGGCAGCTATAGCTGAGGGAGCAAGAGGTGAATGGATGATCCCAGTGTTGATGAAATTGTCAGGGTTTTTCCCAGACGTCTCTGCAGGGAGGAAGAGATTAAAGGCACTGAAGATATCGTTCACAGCTGGGTACAGCTAAATGAGGGGGGAGGGGAAGGTAACAGTAGCTGTGATGATATTGTGCACAGCTGTGAGGGGAAATGATGGGCAGAAGACAAAAATAAACTTCAGATAGAACACATCTGTTCTCAGGTGACCCATGAAGTCCAGATAAGTTGAAATGCAGTTATAAATACTACATGTTCCTGCATGGGCACTAATTTAATCTAAAACCCTAAATTGGGATGGTTTGTGATCTCTGCCATCCCCTCTTAGGTGCAGAGTGACTGCAATATATTCCTCCATCATGGGTTTCATTGACTCAACAGGTTGGTTATCAGGTGCAACAACTTTTATTTCACAGCCAAGCCCTCTGTCCTAGTCCACTAACTGGTATTGGGCTATCCTACAACTGGAGGATCTGGATAGTCCACTGGAGGGCTCACAGATGGCCTGCCATGGACCATATAGATGCCCCCCTCACATACTAAAAATCGATTTCTGAACCCTTGGCCAACGGTTCAGAAATCGATTTTTAGTATGTGAGAGGGGCATCTATATGGTCTATGGCAGGCCATCTGTGAGCCCTCCAGTGGACTATCCAGATAGGGGGAAATTCAAAATTGCCTTAAGTAGCATAAGTGTTATTCCAGCAATCAAAAATCAATCTTATTCTCCAGCATGGGACAAGTTGGGGATAAAGCAGATGCCAGAAAGGGAAACAATGAGAAAAATGGTTTGAGGGAATACCTTGCGAATAAGATAAAGCAAAGGTGTGATAGTCAAGTGGTGCTTTGGTAGAGGATGGAGACCAAATCCTGACTCATAGCTCTATGCACTTTTTCAAGTTGGGAGGGTTCGCTACAAAGATGCATGGATGCATAGTTTCTGACAGAGGCTGCCTCCATGTACAGTCAACCCTCGACTTACAAACGTCCCTAGATATGAACTTTTCGATTTACGAACAGCTCTGTTGGCAATAATTGGCATCAACTTGCGAACGGAGCTCGACCTACGAATGAGGTTGAGGCTCCATTTGCAAGTCAATGCCGTTGTTTTGTTTTGTTTTTTTGCGAACGGAGCCATTCGTAAATGGCTCCCTGCAAAAAGGCAGGGAGAAAGGGCGGAAAATTCAAATTTCCAGCTCTTTCTCCCTGCCTTTTTGCCTCTGGAGCTCTCAAAGGGCTTTCCGCCTGACATCAGAGCAAGCCCTTTGTGGCAGGGACCCCCAGGGAGGTTTCCCATGGTGGCGGGCAAGCCCTGGGAGACCTCCCTGGGAGTCCCCGCCACCACGATCTGCACCTTCAGAGCTCTCAAAGGGGCTTTCTCCCCCGGCATCAGAGCAAGCCATTAAAGAGCTCTGAAGCCAAAAAGGCCCTTTCCCCCTGTCTTTTTGCCTTTTGAAATGCTGGGACATATTAATTCCGTTCCCATGCATTTCAGTGGGAAATGGTAGTTCGACTTACAAACTTTTCGACGTACGAACGTCGTTCCAAAATGGATTAAGTTCGTAAGTCGAGGTACCACTGTAGAGTGTATGGAGGCACCATCCATCAGAACTTGTTTCCCCATGCAGCTCTGAGAGTCACAGGGAATCTTTGTGATTTGCAAAGGTGCAGTTGGGTGCTTTTTAGAGAGCACTGCAGGAACGTCATGGAGGTAAGTGGGTTTGTCTTCCTTCCACTGGTTTGATGGCTCCCAGTCTCATAATTCTGCCGGGGGTTGGGGGATCCTGCTGAACTTTGGGACTGTATATTTTCTCTGTGGAGCATGATAATCATTTCAGAGTTTCACCTGCAAATGACCTTGGCTGTCCAGACTATCTTCCCAGTCAAGTGCTCTCCACCTGTTTTAGATGATAAAAGCCATCACCTCAACCAATAGCACCATTGTCTGTGCTGCCTGGAGATGTGCGGGTTAGTGCTTTTCAGATATGTTGGGCTACAAATTCCAAAAAGTCAGTCTCAGTTTTGTTCCCAGTAGTACAGGAAATAACAGTTCAAGTATCTGGCATGCCTATGAAAAGCATTTCTATCTTTTTGTTGTTTTTTCCTGGCCTTAAAAGGGGCTGGATCAAAGTGATACAGTCTTTAGATGGGGAATGGACTGCTCAGTTTCAAATTGCAGGTTTACGAATGTCAGAAGCACAATGGGCAGAAAAGTTCTAGCCCATGCCCTGTCTCTGATGTGCTAGTTTTGTAGTTGCAGAGAGTTTGTGCGAATGAGAATGGATGAAGGGCAGTATTCAAAATGCCATTACCCAGTTGTGTCCTGAATTAGTGCTTTGCATTCTAGGTTGCATCCTGCTGCATGCATACAGAAAGCTGATGACTTTATTATTCTTGACCCCTTTCTCAAACAAACTACAGAAGCAATTGGGCAGCTGGGGCTGATGATCAAGAATGGAAGCTTTTACATAAAGAGCCAGTATTCCACAAAAGTCTGCATTTGGCAAGACATTTTCAAGCACAGCGACACATCCCTGGCCTGTACTTTATTTCTTTGTGGAAAAAATAATACCCAGCTCTAAGAGCATTTGCATGCCTCCTCGACCGCCACAGCCCTAGCCCACACAGAAGTACTGTTAAGCTGTCCCACACTCATAGAAGTCCTTGTCCTATCTATAGACATAAGCATTTTTCCCGTGTGCTAGAGCTTTATTCTTTGTTTGTTCAACACCAAGGCATACTTTCTACAGTATTTAATAGTACACCAGTGCACAGCAGCTGTACCCACAGAGTCCCAGAAAGATAATCACTGTGTCAGAGGGGACATTTTCACTGACTTCCTCCATCAATAGTGGGCTCAGGCTGACATAGTCAGCAGATAAAATCACATGCAGAATGAAATACCATTTACCAAGCTTAAAACGATTCTGACCTAATAGAACATGCGCTGTGGTCAAGACAAGCATATTAATACATATACGAGCCCTTTCTCCAGAACAGTGTTCTTGACAAGCGGCTATTTCCCAACTTTGCTTCATTTTCCTGTCCTGAGAAACAGTGCTTTGTTGTGGCAGCAGGTTTACATACTTTCTATAGTTCAACCTGATGATCTGTCAGCCTTTTATATTTGGAAGTTCTTTGTCTGGCAGAGTTGAGTCAGAGATGGTGTGGTCGTGGAGCAGTTCCCAATGGGGGTTGTGGCAATATGATGAAATTACAGATGGGTCATGGTTGCGTTTGATCTACCCTTGGACAAGTGACCTTCACTGGCCTATCCCCTCATCCTTTTGTCTTTTGTTGTTTTTTCCCTAGGCTGTTCCTCTAAGTCATTCAAGCTGTACTCTCCAAAGGAGCCCCCAAACGGCAACGCCTTTCCCCCCTTCCACCCGGGCACTATGCTGGATCGAGATGTGGGGTAAGTGAGAGGGTTTTTTGGTGCAAGACCAGGCTAACCTTAAGCAAAGGGAATTCAGTCTCATACCTGTCAGCCACCACCTCCATTCATTTGTGGATCAGGCTATTTGCAGCAGTAAGCCAGTGTGAGGGCTCTCTTTTCCAGATCAGGAAGTGCAGGACAAGTGGTACTTGACCCTGAAGCACACATGGGTAACCAGAGGGCTAAATGTATCCCTTAGCCAATTTAGTGTTCCCATTGCCAGAGATAGAAAGGTGCTTTTTTTAGTGCCTCTCCTAGAATCCTTTAGCCATCATGGGCATTAGCAATATAAGTTGAAGTATCATGGAAGATAAGGATAACCAATGTGGTTTAGTAGATAGAGTGAAGAACTAAGATTCAGGAGGCCTGGGTTCAAATCCTGACTCGACCATGGACGCTCACTGAGGGTGTGGAACTAATAAAACCACTCCTTAATTATCTCACTTACCTTGAAATCCATGTTGGGGTTGTTATAAGTCAGTTCTGACTTGATGGCACATAACAACAACAATTATGTAAGATACTGTACAAAAACAAAACAAAAAAACAACACCACTCATTCCAAAGAAAATATTTTTTTCTTCCATCTCTGCCACATGCTAATCCATTGGGCAGGAAGAAGGGAGGGAGGGGGTCACAGTGTGCCTGGAGGGGGCATTTACATTTCCCATCACTGCATACTGAGAGGAGGGCAATAAACATGGTTTCCTTCTGGCCTCATTTACTTCAGTCTAGAGATTTATTCCCATGTTTTCATAGCTCAAGTACATTAAATGTGCTACTCAATTCAGAATGAGAGAAGTAGCCAGAAAGAGAGTTAACTTCTACCAGCATTCAGAGGTGCCTGCTATACCTGCATTTCTGCCTTTATTGGAAAGTCAAAAGGTCCAGAGCAGCTAAATGTATCGAGGCCCGGCAGGCAGCCAGGTTTCTGATGGTGGCTACTGTGCACAACTCGGAGCCTTTAATTATTTACTTCTTTGTCACATGCTGCCTGTTCTCCCCTGGAGCCCGAATGGGCAGTGGCATGCACGCAGCATGGGAATTCCTGGTTTGCAGTTACCAATATTTTTTCCATAAGAGCTAAGCTTCAAGAGCTATACAAGTGGTGATATTTTCCATGGCAATTAAATTGCACAATCATTACCTAGAGTATGGGCTAATTACTCAGTGACCCACTGTGGCACTCTGTTTTTTAGTGCAGAGAGAAAGAAAAGGAGGCTGAGTGTCAAGGTTGAAAATACAACTATTTTTTATTGTTGGCACTTTGGGCCAAGGGCTGGTTGTCTGAATTCCTAGTTTGTTCTGCATAGTCAAGGATTTATGAATATACTGAGTCGACCATGGAAACAACCCTGAGACACCAGAAGAGCAAGGAGGAGGAGGAGAGACATAAGAGAAGGGCGAAGGAGCAGGAGCTCGGCAGCATCTTGACAGAGAAGAAGAGCTTTCAGCTCTCAAAAGGAACTGAAGGGATTTTTCAGGAGCAGAGATAGTCTGTGTGACGTAGATTATTGGACTGGGACTAGGGAGAACCAGGGTCAAATTACCACTAGGCCATGAAATTCATTAAGTGATTAGGGTCAGTTCCTCTCTCTTAGCCTTCCCTTCCCTGCAGTGTTATGTGGATAAAGCAGGGAACAAGAGAGCCACATAGGCCACCTTGAGGCCATTAGAGAAAAGGCATGATATATGAAATGAAATCAACTTCTTGAGACTTGGGAGGGGCAGATTCCCTGTATATAATAATCCCTCTCCCCGAGCTTTACCAGTGACAGGACATGATCAGAAGATGATAGAAGTTTCAGTAACTACAGGGGAACCTATGAGGGGGTCTGTGTCCCTACCCCACCCTTTTGATTTTTTATTTTTTAGTTTTAAAGGAAGTCCCTCATCTTTTTTTTTTTTACATTTGGAAGTAACAAAAGCATGCAGACAATCATGCACCTCATTATTTTCTAAGAAGCAATGCTGTTCAATTGCTTAAAGGTTATCAGACTACTTGTGNNNNTTATTATTATTGATGTCTTTGCTCTCGTAAGCCTCCTTGCTAAAACATTTCTAGCTGTGAGCCTACATGAAAATAACAAGTCCATTCAAACTGTAATAGCTGGTAAGGTTAAGATGCACTGACAGATTGGAGTACAGTAGAGGGGAGTGAATGAAAAATTAGACAGAAGAGAGAGTGAAATCCGTGCTGTGGCTTTTTCTTGGAATGGTATGTAAAAATCTGGGATGTCCTGAGCAACAAAGGCTTTTGGAAAGCATTTGTTCCTTCTAAAATTGCCAGAAATATGCTAAGCCATTGTATCAAAGCTGAAGTTAACTGGGCTCTGCCTCTCTAGTATCAAAGTGTAGCTAAGATGAGACTGGAAAAGACCCTGATGTTGGGAAAGTGTGAAGGCAAGAGGAGAAGGGGACGACAGGGGATGAGATGGTTGAACAGTGTCATCGAAGCGACCAACATGACTTTAACCCAACTCCGGGAGGCAGTGGAAGACAGGAGGGCCTGGTGTGCTCTGGTCCATGGGGTCATGAAGAGTTGGACATGGCTTAGTGACTAAACAACAACAAAAAAATGAGACTGGAATACAGTGGTGCCTCGCTTAGCGATCACTGTTGAGTGATGAAATCGCTTTGCGATGGACTTTTGGCCATCACTGAAGCGATCACTTAGCGATGTCCTCTATGGCTAAAATTCACTTTGCTATGATCGCGGGGAAGCGATCATGGCAAAGCGAACTTTTTTAAACAGCTGATCGGTGGTTCCAAAATGGCCGCCGCAAAAAATGGCCGCCGCTGTTTTGCCTCGCTGTAGAGGCACCCAAAATGGCCGCCGCTGTGGAGGAATTTCGCTTTAAGGTAAGTTTTTAGCCCATAGGAACGTATTAAACGCATTTTAATACGTTCCTATGGGCTTTTTAAAATCACTTAGCAATTAAATCGTTTAGCGACGTTTTTCCTGCAGGGATTAACGTCGCTAAATGAGGCACCAATGTATGGGGTAGCCATAGATGCCATCTGCAAGTAGCCCCAGATAGCACGGTCAGTGATGATCATGGCTGATGTCAATTGTAGTCAAACAATATGACTAAAAGGTCAAAAAGAGGTCCTGGTGAAACCTGGGAGGGAATGCAAAAAGGCTCTCAATCACTGATTTAAAGGGAAGCGGGGATTTTGTAAACAACAGTGTAGAACTTTTAAAAAGGATGATAGAAAAGAATGACAAGAGAGATCAAAGAATGGAAAAGGATGCAAATTATTACAGAAAATTGGAGCAAGGATAGCCTTACAGAAGTGTTTCAACATTAAATATGGGAAGAAACTGGAGAGGGTGGAAGGAAACATCAGAAGCAGTAGTTGCCAGTACATGGCTAGTGAAAACAAGGAAGAGAACACATATGGCAATTAATGTGCCAGGAAAGGTTTTAATAGCAGGTCAGAATAATATGTATGATGGTGAATGCAACAAAGTCCTGATAAAACAGAGATTTAATGCATGAGATAACAAGCACATTTTCCTGTCCTCTTCCTAAGCCTTCTCTTTGGATTACACTTTGCAGTGTAATGAAATGGATGAGGCATTAATTACTCTTTTCTGTACTGGCGTATTTCTCCACAGACCGACTCCTATGTATCCACCAACCTACCTGGAGCCTGGGATAGGGTAAGAGTCTGCCTTGTTCTCCCTCCTGACCATCTTTGTTAATGAAGGTGAAGACAGAGGTAATATTTCAAGTGTGAGGATGGTGATTTTGAAATAGTAGTACTTTTGCAGTAACCCCAACATGTTTTGAGGGCAACGAATTTGAGTTCAAACCACTTAGACCACACTAGATATGTTACAGCTGTCTTCATTCAAACAAGATCATTAAATTAAGGATGCATGTCATATGCATATTTATGAGTGTGCTTCTGGATGTGTATTTGTTTTCCCAGAGAATCAGAAAAAAGAATATCAGAAAACGGACTTCTCCAAAAATCTTTTTTTAATGATTAAATGCAGGAAGGAATTACGGTTTCTTGCTACTAATAAATTTATTTTTTTAAAAAAACATTATTTTTGCAAAACCCAGAAACACATCAGTGGAGTTATACACTTGGAAAACCTCTGCTGTATCAATTAAAACAACAATAAAATACACTAATCTCTCCAGTGAAAATGGAGTTGAACTAGCCGAGGTTGCTCAGTCATTCTGTTATGCCACCATGAATGCACCAGTCTTTTCTGATTTCAAAATTAAACTGGCTAGGACTTGAGTCGGGGACCAACTGGTAATAATGAGATATCCATGTATAGCTAGGAAAGGGGTCCTGGTGAAACCCAGAAGGGATGCTGTCAGTCAGAGTTGCCAATACTGGGCAACATGGACCGCTGGTCTAGCTCACTAAAAGGCTACATTCCTATTCAGTTATTATTATTATAAACATATAGATCAGATGATGCCACTAAAGGCCAAATAAAAGCACTTTGGCATCTTGGGACACTCCCAAGCCAACTACACCAGAGCACAGAGTGCCGTCCTCTGAAGATGCCGGCCACAGAGACTGGCGAAATGTTAGGAAGAACAACCTTCAGAACGTGGCCAAAGAGCCTGAAAAACCCACAACAACCATTAGATCCTGGCCATGAAAGTCTTCGCAAATACTTCATTAAACAGTTTAGAACAGCGGTCCCCAACCTTTTTCGGTCCACGGACTGGCTGGGCAAGGCAGGGCACCCCCGCGCTTGCACACATGCACAAATGGTGGCGCGGTGCTTGTCTGGGCATGCACTTGTACGCATGTGCAGACAGCGCACGTAGCTGCAAACTGGCTGTGCGAGGGTGAGTACGTGCGGGGGCAGGAGTTCTGTCCCCATGGCCTGAGCCGCGGGCTAACTCAGGCCACGGACCGCCACCGGGCCGAGGACCGGGGGTTGGGGACCCCTGGTTTAGAGGCAGCCAGAAACAAGCAACGCAGACTAAACTTCATGCCAACTGCAAAACGCTTTTCGTAAACTAATCAGTTTTGGCTTAACCTTGACAAGGTTGCAGTTTTGAAGCCAGCCATACCCCTCTGTGAAGGGTTTTCCAGTGTTTTTTAAAAAAGGAGGGAATCCTAACCATTGGTAACCAAAAATTCTGAAAGACCATATTCTCCATGTGTGGGTTTTAAGGTCTTTACGAGAGGCTGTTTAGTGAGGATGTGAGACAGGATATTAGTGGTTGCTCTCAGGCTTTGGAACTCCCTGACAAGAGAGGCTAGGTTGGTTTGGTCTGGCAGGATTTGAGAAACCACCTACCTATTAAGAATTGGGTTTTTAATGGGTGTGCTCTTTTTTCCTTTAAATTTTAATATAAAATGTTATTTTACTTCATGTGTATTTAAAATAGCTTTAACCTACCCATTTAACCTAACCTAACTGATTTGTGTTCCAATATTTACAATTGTGTTTTCAGTAATCCTTGTTTTCAACCATATCCTAAGCTGCCTTAGATTAATTAAAAATTAAGTTGTTATGTTTATATGCTGCACTTATAACCATAATTAATCCATTCATCAAATTCACATCTAATTTGATTCTAAAATTAGTCTCCCTGTCTGCAGATCAAAACCTGTTATGATTCAATAGGTGGAAAGCAGACTTTGGACTGTCAACGTGCTGTTTAGGAAGAGACTTCTAATTTTTTTCCTTTTGTGTGTTTTACATTGTTTAAGTTTAGTTGCTTTTAATTTGATGATCTCTTTAATGGTATTTTCGTACTAATGCTTAGTGTGGTTTTAGTTATATCTGTCTTTAATTATGTAGTTACCCACCTGTGGGGCTAATATAAGGAGATGGATAAAATAATTATCAAGTTGGCCATAGATGAGAAAAACCTGAATTCATATTCCTGCTCACTCATTAGCTCACTGTGTAGCAGTGGGTATATATGGGGCGGGGCGGGGGGGAGGTCATGACCTTGTTTGTGAAATATGAATGGGAAAAGTAGTAATATTCTACATACTTGGTAAATTATCCCTTGTTTTAATTGCTTTCCTTGTTTGGCAGGAGGCACACGCCATATGGCAACCAGACTGACTACAGGATATTTGAGCTAAACAAGCGGCTGCAGAATTGGACAGAGGTATCATTTTGTGGGTTCAAAGCGGTTGGACCAGGAAAAGATGTAGGGAATTCCTGTGGTTTCAACATTAGGGGTTTTGCTAGCTTAGAAGGAGAGGGGAAAGGAGTCTGGGAGGTTAACTGAGCCCTCTCAAATATTCTGTGTGGGCTTCTTTCCTATCTTTGTTGGGCAGTTTTGGTAGCTGTAGGGGCTAACTACAACCCTGAGATTCTCCGTTACAATAGTCAATGCTTTTCCTCTCTGTGCCAATAGGAGTGTGACAATCTGTGGTGGGATGCCTTCACCACCGAGTTTTTTGAGGATGATGCCATGTTAACAATCACCTTCTGTCTGGAAGATGGACCAAAGAGATACAGTAAGTCCCAGGCTGGGAGTGGTGGATACTGTATACACCATGGGGTGGGCAACTCAGTGAGGTTCAGGGGCCAATTTTGACCCCAGGGACTTGACATGGGTAATACCCCCCACCATAAATGCGGGCTTTTGTGTTGTTCTTAAGTACTACCGTTCCCCTTTGGGAGGCAAAAGGGGACATTTTTTTTGAAAGGTTGGTTTAGAGTTCACAAAAACAACCAGAGTGGGCTTCAGACAGCTGGTATGTTGCCCATTGCAATGTACTCCGTAGTCTCAGGATCTCCTTTTCAGTAAGAAAGCAGTATTGCAAAGGACTGGAGATTGAATTGGATCAGTTGGATCATTCAGAATATCTCTTTTGAGCAGCTCCCTAAGGAAGTGGCCCCGGTTCTTGTTGTTAGCTGAGAATGTGAGATCTAGTTGGTGTGGCTTCATTAGATTCCCATGGCTTTTCATAGCTATTATGAAGAGGGCAGTCTAGGAGAGTACTGTAATATAGAGCAGATGTAGGGGAATGCCTGCTGTTGGGAAAGTAACACACAGCACAGGGATAGGGAATATGTGGCCCTCCACATATTGTTGATTGTCCCTCATCATTCATGGTACTGGTTAGGACTGATGGGTGTTGCAGTCCATCAACATCTGGAGAGTCATCCAGTTTCTGCCATTCAAATACATACTCCTTGCTAGACGGTAAAAATCTGAAACCCCCCCCCCCCACTGTTGCATTCTACAGTCTCCTACAGCAAATATCTAGGAACCAGGCTGTTTCCCATCCAGACGTTACGCATCTAAGATGTTGTTTAGGAGTTCTCCCCCAACTGAATGCCTCTCTAAATGGCCATGAATCTCCCAGTGGGAACAGAAGGCCTGCTAGAGAAGAGCAGGGCCGTTTTCAGACCTTTCTTCTGTCTGAAATTTCTCTTGATTTCTCCACTGGAGATAACATGTTCCATGTTTCAAAATGGATTTGTAATGCTTCTTGCATACAAACCCACACATACATTTCTCAGGGTTCAAAGTTGCTTGAAGAAAATGTTCCTGGTTTTCTTTCAAAATATCCCACTTGCAAAGCCAGTCACCTGATTTACAATTTCTTTTTGAATCTCTTCAAAGTTGATTGAAGTGTAGATATGCACATCAGAAGTACAGATCTTTTTATCTAAAATAAAGAAACAAATAAATAAATAAGAACTATTTGAAATATTTTCAAGAATTTGCATTCCTGGTTTTTTTTTGGGGGGGGGGTGCAATCACATACAACGTCTTCTGTCCTCTGCCAGGACCAGGGCAGTTAGGGCATACTTCAGCTCCCCTCCTTTTATGCACCATATTCTGGAGCATAGGCAGATTGTTTCGGGATGAAAGCGTTCCTTCTTTCTTTGGTTAGAGAAGGGATTAGCAATGGTGGCCTCCTGATGTTTCTACACTGCAGCTCCCATAGTCCCACACCTTTGGTTATGCTGGCTGGGGATCATGCAAATTGCAAGTGAAAAATATCTGGAGGAGCACAATTCCAGACTTAGGACGGACGGCCCATTACTGTCCGAGAGATATGGATTGGAATGCTTTTATCCAAGTAGGCCTTGCTATATAGCCTTTCTCATTCTGATGTTCAGATGTGTTAGACTACGGTTCATGTTAGCCCCAAGCAGCATTGCTATGTTATGTTGAGGGAGATTTTGTCTTGTGTTCAGCCTGGTGCCCTCCCATACATACTGGTGCAAATGCCAAACCCTAATTACTACTGTTGTCTCTGGTCCCGTCACTGTCACTTCTACCAGCCATTTGTCTCCCTATGATAACTAGAAGACAGGCAGTACTCATCAGGGCCGCAAATCAGAGTTCATTTGCCCCTGCCATCTTAATTATAGCATTAATACAAGGCCTGAGATGCCTATACAGGAGAACTGCAACTTCCAGCTTATGTACTTTAAGGGTGAGGCTGGTGGTATCAAGGAGTTCAGACATCTGATTTGGAGCTCAGATCAGCCCCTCTTTACTGGTTCTCATTCCAGAGCTACTGCCCATAGCAAAAACCTGCAGGTTTTTTTATTTGTTTGTTTGCTTGTTTGTTTTTGGAAAACGATCGAGTTATAGACCGACCTCCCTCACATGGACATTCTGGGAGCTGCACTCTAAAATAGGAGTCTTTCCAAGCTCTGGCAGTGGGTGACCTGGCCCTCTCCATGTCTAGGGCAAGCCTAGCTTTGCTAAGATGGTAAGACTAACAAGTTCAGGTTCATGAGCCTAAGCTTTACTGTTCCTACCATCATCTTGGGCAGACGGCAAATAAGTTACAGGGGCACCAAGCACTAATGGGGCCAAAGAGCTCTCCTCTGCTGTGGGCCTCCCATAAATTGGAACTGTATCTCCACTAATTCTAGATTTGGACATTTCATTTGGTGTCTTAACCAAGTAAGCCTTCCTTTAGCCTGCCAGGAGTTCCACTGAATATTTGTGATTCTCAACAGGAGACTGCCTGCAAAGCCTCATTAATGTCTGTCTGCCTTCCCTTCCTTTCTTTCTAGCAATTGGACGTACTCTGATCCCCCGCTACTTCCGCAGCATCTTTGAAGGGGGGGCTACTGAACTCTACTACGTCCTGAAGCACCCGAAAGAATCTTTCCACAACAACTTTGTGTCGCTCGACTGTGACCAGTGTACCATGGTTACCCAGCACGGCAAGCCCATGTTCACCCAAGTGAGAATGTAGCAGGGTTTCCACCCACCTCTGACCCTGGCTAAGAGGCTCTTGCCTTGAAATGTTGATGACAGTAGATTGCCATTCCTTGTGCGCTTCTGCAAACAGCCCATACTTGGGAAGGTATAGGTTTTTGATGCAGCTAGTCATGGAGGCTGTGGTATAGTGAAGCCAGGACTCCAAAACATTCTCAGTGCAGGGACAACTCTCCATCTGGCTTCACTATTCCTAGATGCAGTCCTCATGGTGTGTAGGAAGAAAATTGATTTTCCCAGGAATGGTTTATTGATGCAAGCTCTCCCTGCCATTGAGTCAAAGTATGGTTTGGATTGTTTGGTCTTCCATAGACAATGAAGAGCAAAGCAGAGCAAAGTGTGCTGCTTATATACCAACCCATAGCAATTAAAGCATTCTCTGGGCAATTTACAATTTAATTATACAGGCTACACATTGCCTCCCTGCCCCCAGTGATCTGGAAGTTAATTTTACTGACCTTGGAAAGATGGAAGTCTGAGTCAACCTCAAGCTGGCTACCTGAGCCTGTCTGGATCAAACTCAGGTCATGAACAGAATTTTGATTGCAGAACTGCAGTTTAACCACTATGCCACAGGGCATTAGCTTTACAAAAATCTGCTCCTTGCTTGTTGCTATAGACCAGAGGTCTGCATTTTTGGACTTTCCTTAGAAGTGGGGTTAGCTATGAGGATTGTTCCAAATCTACCTCTGGACAATTGCATGGGGGCTATGTTTGTTATATAGTGCAGTGGTCAGGGAACAGGGGTAAATTACCCCAAATGGGGTAAAAATTAAAATCCTGGGGTTAATGAGGAGGGTTGCGGCAGCATGACCCTCCTCATTACCCCCAGGCATTTTATTTCTGATGATGCTGTGTGTAGGCGGGCATTCGGTTATGGGGAGAGTGAGCGCTGGTGAGGAGGCCCCCTTCCCACCCTGCCTCACCTGAGCTCATGGCCGGTGGACCTGCTGGCCCTGCGGTGCCTGGCTCCCTTCACCAAGGACGCGCTTTCCCGGCGGTGTGTCAGCTCCAGACTGGCTGCTCGGGCAGCAG